TCCCTTCCCGTCCCTTGCGAAGCTGTGCCCTAAGGTCGTCTCGCCGGTGCTCCCTTCCTTTTCCCCTCGCAAAGCTGCGCCCTGAACCGCCTTGAGCCAAAACCCCTTGAGCCAAAATGCCTTTCCTGTTCGCCGCCTTCTCGCATCACTCTCAGCAGGTAAATCATATAACACCTTTTGTAGATGCTTAAATCTGAATAGGTATGAACAGAGTAGTCCTCCTTGTTTGATGAAAACTTTTCTCAAGTATATAGTTTTTGTTTAAGTGTGCTCTGTACATATGATGGTTTCATCGTCATTGCTATATGCTTGCTTAAACTGATTCTTCAGATGCATGATCATAGGAATTTTGCTATTTCTAGTCAACTTCTATATGCAGTTTTATGATTCTTCAAGATATATAGTTGAAGTTCATGGAAGTGTACTATGGTCATATTATGTCCAAATCCTGCAAACCAAATACAGGAATGGATTTTAAATCCAATCCAATCCAAATCCCATGGAATCCAAATCCCTCCTGGGAATCCAAATCCCTCAGAAACATTCCTACAAACCAAACGCACCCTTAGAGTATTTTGGAATCATTAAGAGACATATTTTTTTATCAAACAAGATTCACTTCTTAAAAATTCAGATATTACCTCTTAATGAAACTATTAAGAAATAAACAAACAACCACTAAAATGATAATATAAACACTTATTTGAAACAAAAGACATATTATTTTTGTTTCTATCATACTCTTTTTTATTATATTACTAAAATATTCTACAAATTTATAATTTCAAAACACTTTTAAAAAAATATAAAATAATAATAATACTTCAATTTTAATGGTGGTAATGAATAAAAATTTAATATTTTTATCTTCACATCAAGTTTTAAAAAATTCTCTGAACTTGAAGTTTTTTTTATTTTAGTGCATTGATATATAGACAGGACATAACATAACAAGATAAGACAGTACAAAACAAACAATTGTACAACGTTTGATAAGATGGAACTGGATATGACTAAACAAATAAAATGATCAGTTTACCCATAGTGAGTTACTTATGTCTTTTATATATTTTGATTAATCTATGTAATTTGTTAAATTATGATAACATAAATATTTTTTAAAACAAAATACATCGTTAGAAAGTTTTCGTCAATACGATTAAAATGACATCAAAATAAGAAGTTTACATATTTTGGAATTTTTATTTTATACATTTTCTATATTATTAATATTTAATAAATTATATAAATTAACCAAAATATAAAAACTATATAAAGATATTATTTTGAGAACAGTAAAACGAAAGTTTAAATAGCATAAATTATGATAAAATAAAATTTAAAAGATGGATTGAATGTAAAAATGTAGGTGTATTTGATGTTTTAGACCTGAATAAAGTTTTATTTTGAGACATATTGGTAAAATATAAGGTTGTTCAACTTTGTTCCATGTGGGCGAGATGGAAAACGCCTGTTCCACTATGTTTCTGTCTGTTTCATATAAAAATGCTATCAAACATGAAACAGTAATCCATGTTTTGTTTGTCCAATATACGAAATACACCCTTAAATAACAATATAAAAAAGTTGTCGGAGCAGAGTAGATAACAAAACCCTCATTTTCTTTATTTTATAAAATATGTCAAATATGTTATATGTATATATAATTGGAATTTAATATGCATGTATCTAATATGCATATAAGTGAAGAATGGTATGAGTAGAGAAGTTATGGTAAGTAGCATAATAAAAGATATGAACCTTTGATTATTCTTAGGGTCTGTTTGGCTCATGCTGAGGAATGAAAATGACAGTGAATGAAAATGGGAATGAATTTTCATTCCCCCAGTTTAATCATGAATGAAATGTTGGGCTTATGAAAGAACGAGTCCATATTATATTGTAGAAAACCAAACAATTTTTTTTATTTTCGTTCTCATTGATTACTGTTTAATACTTCTAACCAGACATCCTCTTAATCTTATACTCACCCATAAATTGCACTTTATAAGGGAATTAATATTATGCATCTCAGTATTCATTGGTGTTGACATTCAATCAAGGTAGAGATTTTTTCTTACATTTCTTACCATAACTTTCTTTCTCGTCGAAATTCAAATTCAATCATATAATATATTAAATATGTGGAAGTTAATGTTATGTAAATATGATAAAATTATTTAATACCATTAATTGTTCTGTATCTCATGGAATTTTCATCTTCTTTGCCACTTTATAAAACGAACACCACTGGACAGAGCACTCTGATACTCCCACACCTCTTCTTGGCTCCTAAATTCTCTTTAGGAGGGAGATCCAATTTTGATTTTCAGTCAAAAATGGAGAAGATGATGATAAAGATGAGGAAGAAGAAGCTGCCATTATCAATTTCACACCATTGCTGCTTCCTTCTCTCTCTCTTCTCCATTTTTGCCTCCTTCAGATCCACTCCTGTACATAATTATGCAGACGCCCTCACTAAATCCCTGCTTTACTTTGAAGCCCAACGCTCCGGCCGTCTTCCGTACAACCAACGTGTCACCTGGCGCGACAATTCCGGCCTCACCGACGGTCTTGAACAAGGCGTACGTCACCAACATTAAGGCTGTTGTTTGTATATTTTTGTTTATTAGGTTTTGCTTGTTTTGATTTGTTGATTTTCCGTCGGATAGGTGGATTTAGTCGGAGGTTATTACGACGCCGGAGACCACGTCAAGTTTGGTTTACCGATGGCATTCACCGTCACAATGCTGTCGTGGAGTATTATCGAGTACGGCGAATACATTTCCGGTGCCGGCGAGTTGGAGCACGCCGTGGAGGCAATCAAATGGGGCACAGATTATTTCATCAAAGCTCACACTAGCCCTAACGTGTTATGGGCTGAGGTAACTGATTACTATGCTGTTTACTGTGTGTACGGTACACGTGTAAGTTGTAACAGATAACGTGACAGGTGGGTGACGGATACACCGACCATTACTGTTGGCAACGGCCGGAGGACATGACGACGTCAAGGCAAGCATATAAGATCGACGAGAACAATCCAGGTTCAGATCTCGCAGGAGAAACGGCCGCCGCTATGGCCGCGGCCTCCATTGTGTTCAAAAAAACAAATCCACATTACTCTCATCTGTTATTGCATCATGCACAACAGGTACTCAAATGATTTGATCTTCCATATCTGATCTACGATCGTACCTAGTGTGTACATCAGAACATTTCTGGTAAACTGAGAGAATGTTAACGATTTGATCTTTTTGGTAGTTATTCGAATTTGGGGATAAGTACAGAGGGAAATACGACGAAAACATTGGAGTTGCGAAGAATTACTACACATCAGTGAGTGGTTACAAGGACGAATTGCTGTGGGCCGCGATATGGTTATACAGAGCCACCGACAACCACCATTACTTGAATTATATGATCGATAATGGCGATTCCTTCGGTGGCATCGGCTGGTCGATTACTGAATTCAGTTGGGATGTTAAATTCGCTGGTATTCAAGTGCTTGCATCTCAGGTACAGTTCCCTACATAACGTTTTTTCCCATTTCCTTCCACTCGCACATGATCAATTTTCCGCCATCGTTGATGATTTCCATTTCCATTTTAATCTGTTGTACTGTTGGTTCCCCCAAATTCAGCGTGGTGATAAAAAGAGTCGCTTCTTTTGAAATGACAATACAAAGTTTGAAAAATAGATTGAACCAAAGTTTTTGAAAACGGAAACGCGAGGCTCGATGCCCAAAATAAAATAAATAAAAATATTTTAGTTATTTTAACATATTAATCATAATTAATAAATTCTAATCGTCTTCGGTTCATAATAAATGAATTTTTATCATTTCTATAAATATCTCAATTGATTGGATTTATGTCAAACTAAGTTGTTTTCGTTAGACCCCTGAGACCACATAAATGATATTAAATTTCAAAGCAAATACTGCGAAAGTAACCTTCATGGTATTTTTACTGTGAAGGTTTAATATTTTATAATGTTTTCCTGTAAAGTTGCAGTGTTATTTTATGGTTTTATGAGTCTAACGAAAACAAATTTGTCTCACGTTAACACGACTCTATATGATAATTATATTAATATTTAAAATTGAAACGCTAGTAAACTCTTAAAAATATTTAAAAATAAATAATTAATATTTAAATTTTTTTTATTTTTCTTTACAGTAGTTAGCATATAATTTATTGTTTCACAGTTTGATGTAATATATTAGATTAAGATAAGACAACTTAAATGGGAAAATGCATTTTGTTTGTCCAAACAAAATGAGCAAAACAAAAATTAAGGAGATCTTGGAAGATTAATAAATCATTAAACTATTTCTGGAATTATATCACCTCTCTATCTTAATCTCATCGTCTAATCCAATCATATTTGCATATCAAAGATACCTTAATCTTCATATAATAAGATGTCATTTTTGAGTTATTTAGCTAATTTGGTAATTGCTGAATGGTTTGTTAAATGGTCAGAATGATTAAGAGACTCTCATGATATAGTACAAAATGAAATATAACAGTTTGGTAATTATGTACAATAAAATTAGAGCTCTTAATGGTTAAGGGAGATCCTGGATACAAAATCATTCAGAGGGTTTTAGAACCATTAAGTGACAGACTTTTTTTTGCCAAACAAGATTCATCTCTTAACGATTCAGAAGTTGTCTCGGAACTATTAAAAGGTAAATAAACAACCCTAAGTGTATAATTAGTAATATAACCTATTAAATTTCTTATTTAATTCAATAACCTTCAAAACCTCCTTAGTATAGATCTTGTAGAAACGCTAGAAGCAATAGTTCAAAAGTGACTAATAAGACCTTCATTTTTACACGTCTTATTTAAACTGTTTATGAAAGCTACATAAATATATTTATAACGAAATAGATGTGATTTTTATTTAGAGCATTCAAATATATAGGCCTCTTCTATCTTTTTATAGATTTTTTTTATGACTTTTAAGATTTCATTCAAATCAAAAGATAAAAAGCATATAGTTGAATAGTCGTCACTTTAGAATAGGATTCTCTTTCTCTCTGAATTATGTGACATATTAATGCATACTCGCTGGATACTTCTTCTATTTGATATGTTTAAAGATCGTGAGTTTAGGTGTGGACAAAGTAGACAGTATCTGATACAGTATGAATAAAATACACCGATGGTATTAAGAGAAAAGTTTAATTGTATAGGGAACAAATAGACCTAGTGACTTATTGATTAAGCTGTAAACAAACATATAGTAACATTTGTTATTAAGATTAGAAAAAGGGGGAAAGTAGTGAATGGAGTAAGGAAGGCATCTCATTTATAAGGAAGGAAAGAGTACAAATATGGGGGGTCATATAGAAGGGCACATGGGGGGTGGTGATGGCTTTTTAAATGAGAATTGTCTTTGCCATATGTCAAATAACTGTGGTAGACTGTGGCTAAGCTTCTAGCTTCACCTATTTATGCTCCACTTCCTCTCTATCCATTCCACTCTTTTTAATTTTTACACACCCCTTTTCATCATTACCATATTTTTCTTCTATTTTTACCTTTCAACATCTTTTTTTTTTATCTTTTAACATGATTCATAAGTGGGTTTGAGATTAAAAGTAATCAAAGATTTAGATTTATTTTTACGTTTTTTATCTTAACTCTCATTCTCATACGATCTTTCGTCATATGTAGAATCTTATTAGATTATTATCCAAAAAAACCATAAGAAAAGAAAGATGTTCCAACATATATGAAAGATAAATGGTCCAAACTCCACGTCTGTCTAGTTGATGAGGAATTCTAACATTGAGAAACAATAAGAAATAAACAGAAGTTTATAAAAACCATTATATATATATATATATATATATATATAATATTTTATATATATAGTCTTTGTGAGGAAGGTACTAGTGATTTTGATTGAAGTTATAAGTGGAGACACACCCATATGGTATGTAGTGTAGTCTTTGTAGGAATTATTACTCCCTTTTTGATTTCCTCCATGATTGAAATGAAAATTTCATGTTGCAAATATGCATATTTTACAAATATATATATATATATATATATATATATTTTTAATTCAACATGTGTTTTTAATATAAATTTTATGTTAACAGTTAACACTTTATTAAAATTCAAAATATCTCATTTATGCAGCTGCTTACAGAAGAAAAGCACATGAAGCACAAAGACATGCTAGAAAAATACCAATCGAAAGCCGAGTACTACATCTGCTCGTGCCTAAACAAAAACAACGGTACAAAGAACAATGTCGGACTTACCCCTGGAGGCCTCATATACATTCGACAATGGAACAACATGCAATATGTGTCTTCGGGGGCATTTTTGGTATTAGTGTACTCAGATTTACTCCGAAAATCAAACGGAAAAGAGCTGAAATGCCATGGAGGAGAGGTAACTTCTGAAGAGCTACTTCAATTTTCAAAATCTCAAGTGGATTATATTTTGGGCTCTAATCCATTAAACATGAGTTATCTAGTGGGCTTTGGCCCAAGGTTCCCTACTAGGGTTCACCATAGAGGTGCATCAATGGTGTCCTATAGAGAGAACAAAGGGTTCATTGGGTGCACTCAAGGCTATGACAATTGGTATGGTTCCACGGATCCGAACCCGAACATTGTGGTTGGGGCATTGGTCGGTGGACCCAACCATAACGACGAGTTCAATGACAAAAGAGGAAATTACATGCAGACAGAAGCGTGCACGTATAATACAGCACCGCTTGTCGGAATTTTTGCAAAGTTAAATTATTTAGAGAATACAGTTTTACATGCTTTTTATTAAGTAAAAACTTATACAATGAATCATGTATAGTGTTTTGGTATGTGTGTGTTTTTTTTGTGGCTTAAATTTATTGGTGAAGCCCAAAATTCAGTTTTCTTGATACCAAACATGTATGTATTCAATTATATAATTATGATATTTTTGTAAGTTTAAAATCCTTTTATATTTATTTTCTTGTTCATTTATAGAAATCCTAATCTTATTAATTGAATTTATTTTATTTACTACTAAAATCATAATATTATAATTACAATATTTTTGTTTAATTACGATTAAGTTAACTAAGGGGTTGTTTGGCAGTTGCTGAATAATTTAGTGCAAAATGATTAAGTGATCAGAATGATTAAGAGACTCTCATGATATAGTGAAAAATGAAATATAATTATTTGGTAATGTTTACAATGAAATTAGGACGCTTAATGGTTAAGGGAGACTCATCATACGAAACCATTCAGAGGGTTTTACAACCATTAAGAGACAAACTTTTTTTTTGTCAAACAAGATTTACCTCTTAATGATTCAAAGGCTGACTCTTAATGAAACTATTAAAAGGTAAACAAATAAAATCTAACATAAAAATAGTTATTATATGTTAGGAAATTACATTTTTCGTCCATGTAGTTTGGTGTTTTTTCTTTATCCCCTCCTCTTTTTTTTGATTAACCTGGATATCTAACCTGCTATGCGAGCCGACTAATCGCAAGACGACCACCTGCTTTGCAGATAGCTTCAAGTCACCGCATTTGAACCTCAGTGGCCACAAGAGGATTTTTATTTCTCCTTGAATTTGAACCTGAGACCTCCTGGTACTTTTGACTTTTGGAGCCATACTCAAACCAATCAGGCACCACCCTTGTGGTTTCTTTATCCCCTTTTAAAATTCAACGGAACTTATCCTTGTGGTTGTGTTTTTAACGAGTTACATCGCTAGTGGTATAAATTTTTTGGCGAGTTGTGCTTCTATGATTGCATTTTTTAAATGAGTTGTTCCTAAATAAATCAACGACCTGGATCCCCGTGATTGCATTGAGGACCGAGCTTGTTGTAAAAATGCAACCATAGGAGCACAGTCAGTTAAATTAAAAAAAAAAAAAGACAATGATCGTTAAAAACATATAATCATCTGTTTGAAACATGTAATTTACTCTAATGTTTTTATACGTAATTTTGTCATAAAAAAAACGATTGTTCCTAAAAACTTCTTTTTCACTATTAAAAACGTAAACAAAAGCAAAGTTAATTCTTCTGAATTTGCACCTAAACTTTTGTCGTATCAGATATTTATTTCTTTACAAACTTAGAAAAGATATTTAGAATGGTTTTCTAAAGTCGGTCGCCACTGATCACTTGATTTTGAAAAAGCTTGTTGCCCGGTTAGGGGAAAAGTAGGCAAATGATTGTTTCTAAGAAGAAGAACGATAGACGAAGATAGGAAGTTAGGCGAGATTCTAACTTTTTGTCTAGTCAATCCCCTTTTTTTCATAATACGTATTTTGTTTGTTTTCTTAAATAATATCCAGAAGAATTTCAATAACGAATATGAATATTATTCAGATTTTGAGACGAAAGAACTCATTTTCCATCATTATATCAAAATATCTTATATTTCGAAAAAAAATTAACTGATTATGAGTAATCAGGGATAGAATAATTGAAGAAAATTTCTGAAGAATATTATGAAAACAAAAAATGACATAACTTAAAATGTCATGAATTATGAAATAAACATATGTATTATTTTTAAGTGTAAAATACACAAAATAGCAATCTACTTTCATAAGTTTCTTTATTATAGCATTGTACTTCCAATTTTTCTTATTACAACAATGTACTTTTAAACTATTTTTTAATATAACATTGTACTTTGAAAAATTTACCATTATAATATTGAGTAACCTTTTGATTTAAATTTACTCATTATACCAGGTTTTTATGTCACCTCATTGTCCACGTAGAATGTCCACATGTACTATAGTGATGTGAATTTTTTATTACAACATTGTACTTTCAAAATTATTTTATTATAGCATCTACTAATTCTTATTAAACAATGTACTTTTAGTTTTAATATTCAGATATTTTACATGTTATTTAATAAATATATTAAATGAATTAAAAAAATTCTAAGTTATTCATGAATATATTAATATTAATAAAACTAGCAGAAGACAACTTATCTCGCTAATATATTTTTTAAATGTGTTTTTTGAAAACAAAAAATTGTTCCATTTTTACCAAAAAATATTATCTTTTAAAGAATATATTATATTTGTTCAAAAACTTTTACTTGATGTATAGATATATTAAATTAATTAGATTTTTTTTGAAGTATTTATTAATATAACAATATTAAAAATTTATAGAACGCAATTTATTTCGTTAACATTTTAGAGAGAACTTTAAAAGATATGTATTTTTTTGAACAACATAAAATAAGAAGTGTTACTTTTTTTACAAACAAAATATATCTCGAAAATAATGTAGCATATTTATTTAAGAAATATTTTACTCTAAAATATTTAATTTGCATGCACTTAATAAGAAAAAGTTAAAAAAATAAAAAAAAATTTAAATCATAGCAACGAAAAATGAAAATCACTAATAATAATTTGAAAAAAAAATTTATTTTTATTTTAATTAAGTCATCAAAATGATGTGTCAACCACATTCCCCATTAAAGTCACACAAGCAAAAAAAGTCAAGGGGTTAACCAGTTTAAAAGGTAACAAGTTACCCATTGCTATAATCGGTAGATTTTTAAAATGTGATACTTTAATAAAAAATAATTTGAAAGTACATTGTTGTAATAAAGAAAAACAAAAGTAGAATGCTATAATAAGAAAATTTATGAAAGTAGATTGCTAATTCATGCATTTAACTCTATTTTTAAAGGATGAAATATTATTTGAGATTTTTTATATATATATACCGTGACATTTCTCTTTTTCTTTTATTCTACTTTTATGTATTTATTGATATTTTTCTATCGTCGGGTACACCTAATCGCTACTTTTATTAAAATTTTCGTAATTATTTACTAGCTTAGACTACGCAAACGGTACCCGTGGTTTGTTCAAAAATACGAAAGTGTCCCTACTTTGAAAGAAAACTGTACAAACCTTGATAGGCATTTTGCTTTAAACCCGTCTCTAGCAATCTACCGTTAAATCCCCCATATGCCGCTCACTTAAGGGGCATTTTAGTCTTTTTACCCCATTTACAAATCTAGACATTCATTATGTTTTCGTGGAAAGCAACAAAAACAATTCATGAAGATTGTCAACGTCAGATGTTGCTTCTGATTTTTCTAATGATAAAATAAAATAAAAGTAAATATCTATCCTCGACTATCAGACTCAAAAGTCAAATCCTACCTACTTTTTCATACCAAAGTAATACTTTTCCGCACCGTAGGAACCGGGACAACGAGGACCGAACGAGTGAGCGGTTTTTATGCCTCTTTAGTTATAGGAACATAGTATGGGGTAATGACCTAACTGAATTAATGCCCGACTTTTTCCCATACAAGTAAACCAAATTATGATAGGTACGGAACAACAAATTGAATACGATACCGATGAAATATTCAATCCTAATCATTAGGGGTGCTCATGGGTTGAGTTGATCGGGTTGAAGACATTTGAATAACCCAATCCAATGCTTGCGGTTTGAAAAATCTTAACCCAACCCAACTCAAATGAAAGTGCAACCCAACCCAACCCAAACCGTACGGGTTGGTTGGGTTGATACTTTGGTACATTAAAATATTATTCTAACCTTGAATATGTTATTTCTCTACTCATAATTTCTTTTTCATCATCAACTATTTGATACAACTTATCCATATTTCTTACGTATATCACATTCAATTAATTTTCTCAATTTACGTATATATGTTTACAGTTACTGAACATATATACGAATGAGTTATATAGAGATGCGAATAGATTGAAAACATGTGTATATGAATAGCGTACGTGATAGTGTAATTGTCTACTGTATATATTAATAGAAATTCAACAATCATATTAAAATCCAAGAAATAAATGAATATCAGGTTCATCAGGTTGGGTTGGGTTCAAATAATAATAATCCAATATCAACCCAATACCTACGGTTTGAAATTTTTAAAATTCGATCAGACATCGGGTTGCTTCAAGTTGAGTTATTTCGCGTTGAGTTGGGTTGGGTTGGGTTGGGTTGATCGGTTTGGTCGAGTTGGTCGGGTTTTTGAGCACCCCTACTAACCATATTATTATGGTCACAAACGCATCAATAATGTCAAAAAAAAGTATAGCAAGATACTGGTAATAAATCTAATGTTATTTATTTTGAAAGGTCAACGGTTTTATTAAACTAAAAGAGAACAAGAGACACAATAACACATAACATTTCTGCAAATAGCATAAACAAAAAAGAGACGAAATTTCAGCCTAGTGGTAAAGGCTTGGGCATGGCATAGTCATGAACCCAAGTTCGAGCCCTGGGAGGGGAGTGTTGGCGACATTTAAGTGGGGCCATGTTTAGCCTCCAAAATTGCCGGGGATTAGTCGGGCGTTGGCCCAGACACCCTTACAAAAAAAAAGAGACGAAACAACGCCTAAACACAAGCTAACGAGTCGAAAAAAGATAGCAAAATAATCGAAAGACAACCACAACGAGAGACCAGCTAACTTTCAGAGCAATCAAGAGGCCTATAACACCAATCCATCCAGGAAATACTAAAGATTTTAGCACAGTTTACCAACCAACGATACGAAAGAAGTCTTCGAAAGCTAAATTTGTCCGAGGAGGTAGACGATCAGATAACACCACTTTTTAATTGGTTTTAAGGTGGTATATATTGTTACGTCAACTTTCATCGTACCTCTTTATAGGGGCATGGGTTTTACATCCAAACAAATGTAGTCTTGCCCCTAGGGGCGTAACATAATTGGTTTTAAGGTGGTATATCTGTACAGACATATAAGGGTTCAAGTCTGACAACGATAATATATGATTTACAATTCTTTTATGGGCTGGGCTTTTTATGGGTATTGGGCTCTTAAGCCTATTGTCTAGTGAGCCCCCCGTGTACCTGATTTGCCTTATACGTTTGGGA